CCTTCTGCCTGCCTGCCCTGCCTATCCCTCTCCTACCTAGCCATTGGATATTCAGCTTTTTAGTAGGCCAATCAGGTGCCTTAGTCAGGCAAGGAGAAACAAATGTAATACATCTTTATATAATTAAACAAAGGCAGCAGAAACAAATGTAACACATCTTTACATTGTTAACAAAGACAGCAGAAACAAGTGTAACACATCTTTACTTAATTAAATAAGTGCTGGAGAAACAAATGTAACACATCTTTACATTGTTACCAAAGGCAGCAGAAACAAATGTAACCCATCTTTGCTTAGTTAATGTAACACTCCACAATAGGCGGCCTTTGATGACTTGCATGTGGGGCTAGCAGGCTGATAATCTTCCACGGATCCTCTTCACTTCCCATCTTGCTGTAGGAGCTTTACATGGGTCTTGGAGATTCCAATTGGGGCGCTCACTCACCCTTGTATGGCAAACGCTTTATTTACCCATTAAATCATCTCATCAGGATTTTCGTGCTTACTCATGAGCAATTCAATAGTCCTTCCTAGTTACTGCCTTGTAACTTTTCAGGTGTCTCTACCATTCTGTTGATAAAATCATGCTAACCTCAGAAAATAAAAAAAAAATCAGGTCTGTGAGATGGTTCAGTAGGTAAAAGTTCTTGTTGCCTGGGTTCAGTCCCTGAGACCCACATGGTAGAGAAAATCAACTCCCACAGTCTGTCCTCTGACCTCCACCCCCCACATACATACAGCATCCAGCACACGCATATACAGTAAACAAATGAAAATATTTTTAACAAACTCAAAAATAGTCTCACTTTTTCTATACTCTCAAGACAGTGTATGATTAGAATTTTTTATTCTTTGAATGTTTTTTTTGTTTTTGTTTTTTTTTTGTTTTTTTGGTTTTTCGAGACAGGGTTTCTCTGTGGCTTTGGAGGCTGTCCGAACTCACTTTGTAGTCCAGGCTGACCTCGAACTCACAGAGATCCGCCTGCCTCTGCCTCCCAAGTGCTGGGATTAAAAGCGAGCACCACCACCACCTGGCCTGATTCCTTTTCTTTACTAGTTCTAGGAATATTTAAATTTTCTACTTCAACTTAGACTAGTTTTGCTGTTATGTTTTTCTTGATATTTTTCCATTTCATCAGATTTTTCTGAATTATTAATGTACAGTTGTTCATTGTATACTTATATTAGCTTTTTTTCTAGTTTGGATTTTGAGACAAGGTCTTGTGTTGCTCTAGCCCTCCCCAAACTCACTATGTAGAAGATAGCCTTGAACCTCTGGTAGGTCAGGTGCCACCACGTTGGCTTCTGTAATTGAGCTCCATCCCTCCTGGGTCACGTTGGCTTCTCCGTAATTCTTACCTGGGCAGCACTGTTCACCTGCTGAGCCACCCTCCCACCCCCATCCCCCTACCCCCGCCCTCACCTGCTCAGACCTCATTCTGCTCCTGCCCATGGGAAATCCCTTTCCATCTCCCTCTTCCTTTTTAATTGTAAGAATCTTCTTTTCTTTTTTTCCTTTGTCTGCTCACAAGATACAGTAAGGAAATCCCTATTCCTTTGTTTTGCTTTGTTTAGGATATTTGTTTGTTTGCTGGCTTGTTTTTGAGACAGGCTGGCTTTGAACTCTAGACCCTCCTGCCGCTCGCTTGTCCTGAGTGTTGGATTTGCAGGTGTGCGAGCCCACACCCAACCCTATTCCCTGCAGCTCTTTCCAAGTGCATCCATCGTCCCCACGCCTTTGCAGCTGTGTAGTAAATACCCCAGAGCACATATGCCCATTGTCTCACCACCAATATTGCGCTGAATGAAATCGGTCACCCCCAACCTTTGTTGCAACAAAAGATAGTTTTATACTGTGTGTTTCCTATAGCTATTTAAGTATGATGTGACATAGTTTCATTTTTTTAATCTTTGAGCCATCTCTCCAGCCCATATTTTAATTTTTTTATTCTTTACTTATTTTTGAAACAGGGTCTCACTGTATAGCCCTGGTTGTCCTGGACTTATTCTGTAGAGCAGGCTAGCCTCAAACTAACAAAGGTCCTCCTGCCTCTGCTTCTCCAAGTGCCAGGATTGAAGATGTGCACCATCACTGCCTGCTACACCACCATTTTTTAATGTCTTCTAAAGAGACTCCACCTTTCTTCCCACTGCCCCCCCACCCCACCCCCAGCCTTCCTTCCTTTCTTGTACTAGGAACCAAACCAGGGCTTGTGCGTGGTAGACAAAATCATACCACCAAGTTCTGCCCAGTTCTGCCTTAAGTTTCTTCTTTTTCTAGTATCTAGGTTTGCTATATGTCTGTTTTGGGGGATGTGCAGAGCTTTTTAAGACACTGTCTGCTATAGCCCAAACTATCCTTGATCTCCTGATTCTCTTGCCTTCACTTGCTACGTGCTGGGATTACAAGCAAGGTTTATCTTTTATCGATTTCTTGTTTACTTGTTTCAGTCAGAAAAGTGCCCCATTTAATTTTCAGCCCTGTTAAGTTTGTTGAGTCTGGTTCTATGGCGCATTGTACATCAGTGTCTGGACATGCATGCAGAGAACATGTGGTCAGGTTGCCTACTATCTAAGATCACGATTTCCAATTGTGTTATCTGTGCTGATTTGTCTCCTGCTGTATCAATTTAAATTTTTAAAGATGTATTTCTTTATTATGCAGTGTTCTGTCTGTGTGTCTTCCTTTACTCCAGAAGAGGGCACCAGATCTCATTGCAGATGGTTGTGAACCACCATGAGGTTGCTGGGAACTGAACTCAGGACCTCTAGAAGAACAACTCGTGCTCTTAAGCCCCTGAGCCATCTTTCCAGCCCCTTGATTATTGTTAATTAATTTCTTATCTATGGACTCATATTCATCTAGTTCACTAACATTTATGAAGTCCTCTATGCCATGTACTTTTCTAGTTGCTAGTGATATTTCATTAAGCAACAGATAAAAATTTGTTTAGACAGGCAATGGCAAGATAGAGAATGTATGATGGCTAAAATGAATTTCATCCCTAAAGGCTTTTGTGTTACAGTGACATTCTGTAGCATTTTATCTGTGTGATACTGATACAGTACTGTGGCTTTCTTGAGTCACTATTACTTTATTTTTTTCATCTTTCACACACCCCCAGCCTCCTACTGTTTTTATGTTTTAAATGTGTTCTTTGAGCAGGATATTGTTCATCTTTTTTTTTTAATTATCCTGACAGTGTTGTTAAGTGCACTGTGGGGACTTCCTTTGTCTCCATGCTCCGGATTGAATGTTGACCTTGTGCAGGTCAGCCAGTACCCTCCCAGGAACCACACGCATCTCTGTCCAACCTGCTGAGCTTTAACCATTTCCCAAGCTTAGTGGCTCAATTTTCCAGTCCCACCAGTGGTTTGTGAGGCCAAGGCTTGGTGTTACCTTCCTCACCAAAGCCCTTGTGGTGATGGTGGAATGTTTGATTGGCTCTTCCTTGATAGTGTGTTTTCATCTGTTTATTGATAATTTCTCTTCCCTGAAGCAATCAATGGCTGTTTAATTCTTTTAACATTTTTAAATTGGGTTATTTGTCTTTTTATTATTAGAGTGTAAGTGCTCTTTTTCTTTCCTTTTTCCTTTTTGTGACAAGATCTTGCACTGTAGCCCAGACTGGCCTTGAACTTGCTAGGTAGCCCATGCTAGCCTTGAACTCCAGATTCTCCTGCCTCAGCCTCCCTAGTGCTATGATTACGGCAGCCAGCTCACATAGCTCCTGTCTCTGAGCTCACTTAGTTAATTAGTTTTTCAAACTGTAGCCCAGGCTGGCCTTGAACTTGCTATATAGCTCAGGCTGGCCTTAAGTTCATAACAATTGTCCTCCATTAGCCTCCAGAGCTGTGGGATTATAGATTTGCTCTACCATGTTTAAACACTTTTTTTTTAATGAGGGACACTTCTTGTCATTTTTGTTCAGGGGCCATGCTAATCTCTGTATCCTTGCAGTCTTAGTATGTGTGCTGCCGAGTGGAGTGCCACTTTTTTTTAATTCACTGTTATTGTGAGAGTGCATGTCACAGCACATATATGGGTGTCAGAGAACAATTTGTAGGAGCTGATTCTCTCCTTCCACTGTGTGAGACACTGGGGATCAAACTCAAACTGTTAGGCTTGATTGCAAGCTCCATCACCCTCCAAGCCAACTCACCAGCACCTACAACTCACCAGCACCTACAACTCACCAGCACCTACAACTCACCAGCACCTACAACTCACCAGCACCTACAACTCACCAGCACCTACAACTCACCAGCACCTACAACTCACCAGCCCTACAACTCACCAGCCCTACAACTCACCAGCACCTACAACTCACCAGCACCTACAACTCACCAGCCCTACAACTCACCAGCACCTACAACTCACCAGCACCTACAACTCACCAGCCCTACAACTCACCAGCCCTACAACTCACCAGCACCTACAACTCACCAGCACCTACAACTCACCAGCCCTACAACTCACCAGCACCTACAACTCACCAGCACCTACAACTCACCAGCACCTACAACTCACCAGCCCTACACACCATGTTTGTACAAAGTAAGGAAATGACACAAACATTTATTGACTGCCTACAGCTAAGTTGCCTAATTAACCTTCCATTTTTATCTCTTACCAGCTTGTCATTTGTTGTTGTTGTTTGTTTGGTTTGGTTTTTCGAGACAGGGTTTCTCTGTATTGTTTTGGAGGCTGTCCTGGAACTCGATCTGTAGACCACGCTGGCCTGGAACTCACAGAGATCCGCCTGCCTCTGCCTCCCGAGTGCTGGGATTAAAGGCATGCGCCACCAACGCCCGGCTTGTGTTAATGCCTTTCTTGCTTGGTCTTTGTGACAACCAGATAATTGAATCTGTGTAAGATGACATGTGCCCAGGTGCCCAGTGTCTGGCATAAGAACTGCTTCACAGAAGACAGCTGCTCTGAGAACCAAAGGTAGCTTGGCAGTTTTTATGACTGACTCTCCCTTCCCGCCCTGCCACAGTTCCTTTGTGATGAGGGCGCAGGTATATCTGGGGACTACATTGATCGAGTAGATGAGCCCTTGTCCTGCTCCTACGTGCTGACCATCCGGACGTCTCGGCTCTGCCCCCACCCTCTCCTCCGGCCCCCAGCCAGCGCTGCTCCACAGGCCATTCTTTGTCACCCTGCCCTGCAGCCCGACGAGTACATGGCCTACCTCCAGAGGCAAGCTGGTGAGTGAGACAGGAAGAAAACCAGGGATGCGGCAGGCGGGCGCAGTGTTGGATGGGTCCCTATCCTGTCTGCACACTCACTGTTTTTCTGGTAGAGTCAAAGCAGCAGGAGGAGAAAATCACAGAGGAAGTCCAAGACACAGACCACCAAGTGTGGGGGGAGACCAAGTCTGCTGCAGTACCCCCAGAGAAAGAAGGTAAGTGAGCTTTTGGCCATTCCACGGAACTGGCCACAACTGCCTTGCTTCCCTGACCTTTGTCTCATGCTGGCAGCTGTGGGGGCTCCAAGCCACCGCTAACACAGAGGCAGTACACCTCCTCCTGCTTTGCTCCCTTCTCCCCATTTTCACATTCCCTCTGCGATCCCTACCCAGACGTCAGCCCAGCCAAGGAACACAAGGAATCGGAGTTCTGGAAGATGCTGCATGAGCCAGAGGAACAGGCTGCAGGAGGAGAGGAGGCGCAGGCCGAGGTGAGGACTGCCTCTCCAAAGAGTCTGGGCTCGGGCTTTGGGATGGGTAGGGTCCCCAAACCAAATCTACAAGCCGGCCTCCTTGGTCAGGGATGAAAGGGTATAGAGCCTTCATGCCTGAGTCTGCCCTTTCCCCCCTCAGCAGGAGCAGGACCGGAACCCTGAGGCTACAGCAGATCCACCTCCCAACCCTCCTGATGGTCAGTGAACTCTGTCTCCTCTAGTCCTTAGGTGGGGGGTAGAGTAGAGCCAAGCACTCAGATGTCAACATCCTTCCCCATTTCTCATGGGGCCAAGAACTGAACCCAGACTCTTGCACACTGATGCTCTACCACTTAGCCATCCTCCTGCCCCTCCCCCACCCCGGCTCACCGCTCACTTTGATGCTTTAGTCACTTCCGGAGCAGCAGGACCACTTAAGGAGGTCAAAGGGCACTGGGGCTCCATGCTTAATAACTTTGCACTCCCAGTCGATGTCATGTAATTTTATGGTTTGCCCACCTATAAAATGTGGGCAGAGCCACACCCTAGAGAGTTGGGAGGGTAAATGGAATGCCCAGAACCGAGCACATGCCAAATACCTGCAGAAAGCAGGGTCCCGCGGGGGGGTGGCGGCGCACGCCTTTAGTCCCAGCACTCAGGAGACAGAAGTAGGCGGGTCTCTGCGAGATCGAGGCCAGCCTGAGGAAAATAAAAAGATTCAGGTGTTCATGGAGGAGGGTTCTTAGTGATTTGGCATCCCTGTTTGTTTGCCGTCTCTCAGCTGCCAGCCAGCTAGTCCCTGAGGTAGAGACTGTGGCCCTTGCCCATGGTGCCTCTCCTCAGGCATAAAGAGAAGACTTATAACGCAAAAGACCCATGCCTACTCTCTTTCCCATCTCAGATCTTCAGAACAATGTGCAGGTCAAAGTCATCCGAAGCCCGGCCGACTTGATTCGACTGATAGAGGAACTGAAAGGTGGAGCCAAAAAGGTACGGCCCTGCTCAGGGGCGGGGCGGGCCTGCCTCCCAGCTTCATCTGGAACAAACTAGGCTCAGTAGAGCTGGCTGCCCTTCCTGCGGGCCCCCACTACCATGTTCTGCCACCTCCAAACTATCCATCTCCTCCCCACCCCTGACTCAGGGGAAGCCCAGCACAGGCCAGCAGCAGCCTGGAGATGATACCACGGAGGCCTCTAGGAGGGAGGCGGAGCTGAAGGAAAAGGGGGATGAACCCCAGGCTGTTGTGGAGGAAGAGGACAATGAGGAGGAGGAGGAAGAGGAGGAGGAGGAAGACGAGGATGAGCGGCAGTTATTGGGAGAGTTCGAGAAGGAGCTGGAAGGGATGCTGCTTCCCTCGGACCGAGAGCGGCTCCGCTCGGAGGTTAAGGCCGGCATGGAGCGGGAGCTGGAGAACATCATCCAGGAGGTGAGCCGCTCTCGCTCCTGTGGGTGCCACAGAGGCCTGTGTCTGCCGTGCAGGACAGGGCCTCCCAGTGGGGTGACTGATCCTTTAGCTATAAGAGGGAGCGAAAGAAAGGCAGTTTCTCTCCTACAGGGCATGTCCCCCAGAACATTAACCCCACCTTCTGTGTGCCTTCCAGACAGAGAAGGAACTGGACCCAGATGGCCTGAGGAAGGAGTCGGAACGGGAACAGGCAATACTGGCCCTGACAGCCACTCTGGATAAACTCATCAAGAGGCTGCAGGAAAACCAGAGTCCAGACCTGCTGCAGAAGCATAAGAAAAAGAGGACCGTCCCTCAGAAGCCTACCCCATCACCGCCTCCTACAGGTGAGAGCAGGCACAGCCCTGAGAGCTCCACCTTTGGGAGCTAATGTCTCCCTCCATTGTCGTCTCTGCACGGTCACCTCAGAGTCATCCTTGCGGAAGTCTGCCTTGGTCCCTGGTTCGGTCTTTATGCCACTGTCTAGCATTCTGCCTGGCCCTTAGGCAGTCCCTAAATGACCATGAGCCTAGAAGCTGAAAAGCACCCATTCATGAATGAAGAAGGGGCTCTCTGCCCTCCCTGTGGGTGGGGGTCAGGGAAAGGAGACAGTTTGGGGTTTCCATAGCGACGCTTGTGGGAGATGGGCAAGCAAGTGTCGGGTGTGGCAGTACCCAGAACGGCCCAGCTGTGGGGGTGAGTGGGCGAGCCCATTGGCATGAGCCGCCAGCCTGGCCACACCAGCCATGCCTTCTTGCATCCTTACGTTTATTTGCTGGAGCCCTACTCGTGTGGAGAGAGAAGGCGTTCCAAATAGAATATTCCAGTTTCAAACCTTCCACCTTTTTTGGTAAACACTGAGTATTAAATCTCAGCATGGGAGAAAGCAAGCCATGGCTTTCCAACCTGCTCTATAAAACAAAACACCTTTGTTGGTTCAGGTGGCTTGATCTGGCTTTCCGAAAGCCACTGTTTTCCTACATAGAAGATGGGAGAGTTACAGGATGGGAGGGGGGACTGCTGTTGGGGAAGGGCGTGGTTTTGAATCCTGGATCACATTCATGGGACTGAGAGTTTCTATCCCACCTAGCCATGGCTTAGAGAAGCTACCCCCACCGCCGTCCCCCAGGAGTCACATTCTGCTTTGTGTCTCCTGTGTCTTCCCCTCTAAGAGGAGGAGCCTGAACACAGAGTCCGGGTCCGAGTCACCAAGCTCCGGCATGGAGGCCCCAATCAGGATCTGACTGTCCTGGAGATGAACCGGGAAAACCCACAGCTGAAACAGATCGAGGGGCTGGTGAAAGACGTGCTGGAGAGGGAGGGGCTCGCGGCCGCAGGTGGGCCCTGGAGGGCTTGCCACACGAGTGGCAGGGCTGGGTCACGGGCCTCCGGCTTGGGACCTGGAGGGCAGGGGACCCTCTAAGCCCCCAGCCTTCCTCTCCTCACCACCCACATTGCTTCTCCCAGGGAAGATTGAGATCAAAATTGTGCGACCCGGGGCTGAAGGTAACGAGGAGGACACTCGCTGGCTGACTGATGAAGACACAAAAAACCTTAAAGAGATCTTCTTCAATATCTTGGTGAGTGAGGCATCCTACCCAAGTCCTGAACCCCAGCTCACCCCTCTGTGGTGCCGAAATCAAGGTCTGGTGGCACCGTGGCCAGTCATCCTGCTGTCTGAGGTGAAGCTAAGTTACTACAAGAGGCCTTATCCCCAGTCCCTGCCTGCCACCACAGTCTCAGGACCCCCAGATCCTAGAGCACAGGGCTTCCCTCGGCTACAGGCAGCGATTCCAGCTCAATGCCCCCCCTCCTCCCAGGTGCAGGGAGCAGAAGAGGCCAATAAAGAGCGCCAGAGACAGAAAGACCTGGAGAGCAATTACCGCCGCGTGTGGGGCTCTCCAGGCGGGGAGGACACTGGGGACCGGGATGAGTTTGATTTCTGAAACCAGCGCTGCCCGGCCTTCCAAGGATTCCAGAATCTTCCTGACTGGCTCTGCTTCCTCCTCCTCCCCCACCTTGGGGCCCCCGGAGGCAAAAGGGCAAGTCGGAGCCAAGCTCAGAGAGAGTGTGCGGGACCCAACGGTGGAGAACTGTTGCCGCTCCAGAACCACCCTCAGACCTCGGCAAGGCCTGTGGGCCCCACTCCCCCAACACGCCTTGCTTTGCCCCTTTGGCTTTTCCCGCCACCTCACTTCCTGGCTCTTACCCCATTTACCCAGAGACCCGGTAAGATCTTGTGAGTAGGGTATGGTGGGAAAAGCAGGCGAGCTGGACAGTTTCTCAGACTCCAAGAAAGCAGGCCCCATCCACCCCACCCCACCCCGATGCCCTGTTGCCCTGTTGCTGTTGGGGCATCGCTTGCTCCTTCCTTCCATTTCCTGTTCCCACTGTCCCGTTATCTGTGCTTCTGAGTCAGGAGCCCTTACCTCTGTCCCTGCGGGAACAGGAGACCTTGCATATCACCTCACACACAATCCCAGCAAAAAGGGCTGAGTATGGAGCCACTCATGTACTTCAGGGTTCTGAATAAAGAACTGGACCATCAATGCATCGACCTTGTGGGGAGAGGTTTGGCTGGTCTTTTCAGGATGGGGACATGTCCTCTCCTCCTGTTTACCCTCCCCCAAGAGTATCAGTGTGCCTGGGGTACCCAGCCCCCCAGAGAATGTCAGTGTGCTTGGGGTACCCACCCTCCCAGAGAGCATCAGTATGCCTGGGGTACCCACCCCCCAGAGAGTATCAGTGTGCTTGGGGTACCCACCCTCAGAGAGCATCAGTGTGTCTGGGGTACCCACCCTCAGAGAGCATCAGTGTTCCTGGGGTACCCACCCCCCAGAGAGGATCAGTGTGCCTGGGGTACCCACCCTCAGAGAGCATCAGTGTGCCTGGGGTACCCACCCTCAGAGAGCATCAGTGTGCCTGGGGTGCCCACCCCCCAGAGAGCATCAGTGTGCCTGGGGTACCCACCCCAGAGAGCATCAGTGTGCCTGGGGTGCCCACCCCAGAGAGCATCAGTGTGCCTGGGGTACCCACCCCAGAGAGCATCAGTGTGCCTGGGGTACCCACCCCCAGAGAGTACCACTGTGCCCAATGAACAAAGCCCACCAGCCTGGAGAGAGACGTGGTTCTCTTCTGAGTGAACTGACTAGGCACTGGCCTCTGGAAGACTGAAGGAGAGACCCCAAGTGTCAGCCTTCACACAGAACAGCAATTATCTTATAAACCAGCTCTGAAGGGATGAGGACTTGGAGGCAATCCTTAGAGGATCCTAAAAGCAGCGGCAAAGCTACAGGAAACTTTTGATCCCTCCTTTCATCATCTATTCCTGTCCCTTCTAGAAAAAAATTACCATATTGGGGAGCCAACCCGGGGCCTCACGTGTGCTAGGTGAGCACTGGACTGCGTCTATTCAGTTGCTCCACTCTTCGCAGTCCTCCGCTCTTACACCCTGAAACCCCAAATGTGTACTGCACAGACTTCCATGCCCACAGGGCATCTTCCCCACTGTAGCAGGCTCCTGATTCCACTTGGCAGCCAGCCCTGATCCCTGCCCCTGGTCTTCACCGTTCCCTGGAAAACCCCACCTACAACTATGACAGGGTTGCCGCCTCCATGCTAGGCACTGCAGACAGGTGGCCTGGTATCTACATCTCTTCCTAATTGCCAAGGACAGCTCCATTTTCTCTCCCAGGGTAGAAGACCCTCAGGACAACAAAGGTAAAGTCGCTCCTTTGGTTTCCCAGCTGGGAGGTATATAACTCCTGCTGGAGACATAGGGAGCTCTCGATAGGAAAGAGACTGAAGACATGCTATGCCATCTCCAGAAAAGGGAGAGCTCTGATATTGAAGGAACTCATGGGGCTGGCCCTCTTCTTGCTGAATGTGGATAAGCACTGATTGTGGGTGTTATATTTAAATTGTTTTGAAATACAGACAAGTCCGACTTCCCACATCCCTGTGGATCTTTCAAGGGGACAGATGCTACAGATGTGTGAGAACTTGGGGGCTGTCTTGAGAGTGGCCACCTGCAGGGCACTAGGTCATGGAGGCTTAAGTGATTTCCCTTCCATTGCTGACCAGGCACTGGCCTCCAGGGGGCAGTAATGAGGATGGGGGTGGTATTATAGTCTTTGTACAAGACACTAAAAACTTAAAAACCAGCATCTGAACTCTGAAGGGATGAAGACATGGAGAAAAACTTAGAGAACCCTAAAAGCTGCTGCCCGGTTCCAGGAGACACCCTTGGGCTGGTAAGTTAGAAGCTGGGCAGGGTATCTTTGGTGCTTCAGCTTGATCAGAAAACCCTGAACCCTCACTGCATTGAGTCAATTTGAACTTTCAATAAGGTCCCTTTTTCTTTCTTTTGGCAGAGGTCCAATGAAGGTTGATCAGTCAGTCTCAGCTGTGCTAAGGCAAACAAAAGTAATAGAACAGCATGTGTGTGGCATCCAGAAAGCACGGGTGGATATAGGAGGAGGAGCAGCAGCCTGTACCCATCCAGGGGTGCCCTCCCCTTCTGCCACAGCCTGGAGAGCTTGGAGATTTGTCACTCCATCTCTCTCTCATCCCACAAGACTAAAGTAACCTGTTAAAAGAAGTCAATTACTTGGCAGTAGAGTTTGCCGACATCCTGACCATTTTTCAGTGGCCTGAGGATCCCTTGACAAGTGACTTTATTCTGTCCAGGGTCTTTGTTCCTCCCATAGCTAACGCCCTGAGCTTCTGAGGAAGGGTGTCATGTCCGGTTTTTGCTATGAGGAAGGCCAGTGGAGATGAAAGGAGACCAAGGGTCTATATGCAGCAGCACACCTGCCAATCTTCCTGTCTTTGTCCAGACCACACAACTCCATCTGTGCCTGTTCCTGCCCTCAAGTCCACGCCTCCCTGGGTCATGCTGATGTATGAGGTGATTACCCAGTCTGGGGCTCCACAGAACAGCCTCCAGGGCTACAACCAGACCCTGTCAGTTCCCTGACACATCTACAGATGAAAACTTTAGAAGACACCAGAGGTTAGAAACAACTGTACCCAAAGACACCAGTACCACCAGCTGACTCCTTAAGACAGGCAACACGTGGGGGCCCGACCTGTATTAGCTACTGGCCTGCCTAGCCTTTACCAGGCCTGATGCTTATAGCTCCTACACACACAAAAAGCAGGGTTGACTACTCAATCAGCTGTGGTACTGTGGCTAGGCAACCATGAACTGAAGGGACCCCATAATAAAAGTGGGCAAAGCTGGGCATTGGTGGCACACACCTTTAATCCCAGCACTCGGGAGGCAGAGGCAGGCGGATCTCTGTAAGTTCGAGACCAGCCTGGACTACAGAGCGAGTTCCAGGACAGCCTCCAAAGCCACAGAGAAACCCTGTCTCGAAAAACCAAAAAAAAAAAAAAAAAAAAAAAAATGGGCAAATTCCTACATCAGCCGGCACGGATCTTGCAGACACCAGGGAATGCACATGGCTGGAAAACCTCTCACCTCTGCAGTCCCTAGCACTCCCTATTAGCTCTGTTGCCTAGGCTAGCCTGGGGCAGCACCTTCTCCAGGATCACGGCACTTACAGGTACCCTCTCAACATACATCTCTGAGGTCACTTGCTCTAGCTAGGGAACAGCAGGGCAGGTTTCAAAACTAAATCTCACTCTTGAACCCAAACAGCCCAATCTTTTCAACCCTCAACTCCCAGGCCTGTCTGTTTCTCCACGCACCACGCTCCAACTCTTTGCCAAGTCTGGCACCAATCGCGCATCCGATGTCCACTCGTGGACCCTCACTGTTGCTCTGACCGCTCGTGGACCCTCACTGTTGCTCTGACCTCACAAACCCAGGGTTGTTGTACAAAGCTGAAGACTACCTCTGAGCCCGTGGGACTGCTGCATGGCCCTTCCGTCTCCAGCCCCCCAATGTCCACCAAGACCGTACCCTCATCTGCCTCTTCAATAACAGACCAGCAGCTCACCCCTTAGACAAAATCACTTCCTCTTTAATTGCTGTTAAGATTCACATCACCTGCTTTGGAGGTGAGGGGGGCAACCCTTGCCCCCTCCTCACTCCATTCCCCGATTACCTGGTCTTTTGCAAAATATTTTAGCCAGGAAAAAAAAAAAAAGACCGGAAACCACTGACACAGACGGCCCAGAGCCTGGGTTGACTAAAGACGGCAGGGTTGGGCAAGGTGTGTCCATTCCACTCCCCCTTTCTGGGGATGGGGCCAGGACCTTAACACCTTCCCAGCCACTGCACACCCCCTCAGCCCTGGCTGGGAGGGAGCAAAGGATAGAGAAACAGATCTGGAGCTGCTCCAGCGAGAGAGGGGCTGGACAGAAAGGATTGTGGGGGAGGGGTCCCATTATAGGGGTGCCCCCTACCCCAGATCACCACGGGCGCTGCACAGTCACAGGTACGCAGTCACGGTCACAGACACAACCCGAGAGCACCCCCACCCCACCCCACCCCTGCCCACCCTTGGCTTCCCCTACCCTGAAATGCCCTCCCCTCGCCCCTACCCACCCCATCCCCATGTTGGGGAACAAAGCAATAAATTACAAGGCCCCTCTCTAGTCCCCTCCTATTCCAATCCTTCGCCCCCACCCCAAGATTGTAAGGGGAAGGACCCAGGCTCTCGGCTCCCCGGGCTCTTGAGCTTCCATCTATAGATAGGTAGAGGGGGATATCTGGTTTCCACTCTTCACGGTCCCTTTCACAGAAAGGGTTGGGGACCCCTCCACCTCCATGGGCAGCAGGGGTCCTGCCCCTCGCTGCCCTTCCCCCTCGCTGGGCAGTGAGATCAGCATGGAAGGGGTGGCGTCCCCATATTGGTCCCAAGTCCCAGGGCTAGTCCTCTACCTACTGATCCCTCCCTTTGGCGTGGCGTTGCCCCAGGAGCCAGCCTGGGTTTGGGCTCCAGCCACCAGATTGTAGAACGCAGGCAGGACCGGATCTTTTACCCGCCCCTAGGGGGCACGAGCCCGCAAGTCCGAGCGCCCTGGAGCTGTAGCTGTAAGGACAGCAGGTACACAGACCCAGAGCAATCCAAGTGTGGAAACAATGGAGTAGGGGCGTGTTGAGCTAGGGTCTCCATGCCTCGCTGGGGGGAGGAAGGTGAGTTTGTGTCTCCTGGGAGGCATGTGGGGGCTGTGCCCTCGTGGGGGTAGGAAGTGCTCCCGTGGGACGGGGTGCAGACTGGAGAGGTGAATGGGTGCATCTGTCCAGCGGTCCACCCGGTGTGGTCGTGCCCGGCCCGCGCGGGGGTGGGGGGGGTGTCTCTCCCGGTGCTGGGCAACTATACCAGCGCGATCGTGGCGTCCACGCGACCCAAGCTGGCAGCGCTGCTCCGGCGTCTCGGGCTGGGCGTGGCGGTAATGCTGGGGGTGGTGGCCGCACTCGGTGTGGTGGCTGTGCTGCCGCCCTCCCCCGGGCAGCCGTGCTGGAGGAGGATGTCAGCACACAGCTGGCTGCCAGCCTGGCGGGCGTAGAACAGTGCCGTGCGGCCCTGCGCATCACGGGCCGCCACGTCCGCACCGTACTGCCGGGAGGAAAAGG